ATCTTACCAGGCTGCCATGGCCTCTCAAATATGACAGATAGAGGCTTAGAAATTTCATCCGCCAGCTCCCTCAGGACCTGGGGGTGAATCCCATCAGGTCCCATAGATTTAAGCACCTTGATGATCACGAACCTGCTCTACACCTATGGTGTGGGGTAATTCACTCTACCAGTCTCTGCTTTCATCTGCTGGGGCCTTTGTGTTGAGGTTAGAGCACTTGCCAGAGAAGACTGAAATGCAGCTGATATCCTTACATTCTTTTGAACATAAACTGATGATACTTCCAAAGTTCTCTTGAATGGAATGAAAAAAGTATACTTTTATGCTGTAGTATAATATTGATAATTCCTGTGTTTTATTTTAATTTTGAAGAAATAAACAAAGTATGTAAGTAAGAAGAAATCAAAGCTAATTTTCACCTATCCTTTAAGCCCAGGTTTACCCTATAAGGTTTAACTTTAACATCCTGCTTGTTTGTGCTCATTACCTCCTAATCATTTCTGCATTTTCACTTTCTTACCAGTATCTGGCATGAAAGCATGAAAACAACAACAACAACAAAGATTTAGTTTGAAAGCAACAAAAGTTACCAAAAAAAAATATGGACAAATTATCGAAATACCAGTACCATGGATACTTCCTTCATTAAATACTTTGGATGTGGTACTCTAAATACAACAGACATCAATACCAAACCTTTTTCACTAATTTCTAGGTAAGTATTACTATGATTTAGCCTTCTGATGTCACCAGGAGCAAACAAATCCGAGATGATTATTCTACTCAGATGCTGTTACTCAACTTGGTTTATAAGTCCATTCTGTCCTACTTCTGCACATCATAAAATGACACACCGGAGGGAAGGGATGTCATCCAGAGGGCCCTTTACAAGCTTGAGAGGTGGGCCCATGCCAACCTCCTGAAGCTCAGCAAGGCCAAATGAAAGGCTCTGTACCTGGATTGGGGCAACCCCAAGCACAAATAGAGGTTAGGTGGAGAATGGATTGAGAACAGCTTTGAGGAGGACATGGAGGTGTTGGTCGATAAAAGGCTCAACATGAGCCAGCAATGTGTGCTTGCAGCCCAAAACCCCACCAACGTCCTGGGCTGCATCAAAAGAAGTGCAACCAGCAGGTTGAGGGAGGTGTTTCTGCCCCTCTACTCAGCACTCATGAACTTACCTGGAGCACTGTGTTCAATTGTGGAGCCGCCAACACAGGAAGGACATAGAGCTCTTGGAGCAAGTCCAGAGAGGGGCAACGAAGATGATCAGAGGGTTGGAGCACCTCTGCTGTTAAGACAGGCTGAGAGAGGGGGCTGCTCAGCCTGGAGAAGAGAAGGCTCTGGGGAAATCTCATAGTGGCCTTCCAGTGCCTGAAGGGGCTACAGGAAAGCTGGGGAGGAGCTTTTTACCAGTGTGTGGTAGTGATGGGACAAGGGGTAATGGCTTTAAACTGAAAGAGGGGCGATTTAGGTTAGACATTAGGAAGAAATTCTTTACTGAGAGGGATTGTGAGACACTGGCACAGGCTGTCCAGGATGTTGTGGATGCTCCCACCCTAGAAGTGTTCAAGGCCAGGTTCGATGGGGCTTGGAGCAACCTGGTGTAGTGGGAGGTGTCCCTGCTCATGCAGGCGAGTTGGAACTAGTTGATCTTCAAGGTCCCTCCAACGCAAACCATTCTGATTCTATGAAACACTTCACCAATAACTTCTCTCCACAGCAGAAAGACAAACTAAAAACAAGTACTCAAGATGAAAATGCAGAAGAAAGAACATCCTGTCCTAATAAAAGAGCTAGTGCTAAACCATGTCAGACAATGTATTTGTTTCTGTGCTAACATATATTTTTTTTAGATAATTAATGTATCTCTTTCCCATACTTTTAAGAACTTGTTCTGTTTATTGAAAGAAATCTGATTGCCCAACATTCACTTTTGAAACAGCTGGAGTTTTTTTTAGAAAACAAAATGTAATAGCTGCAAAACAACTTGTAAATTAATCACAACTATAAAAACTTATCTTCAATGTTAATATGTTCTATAGTTTAAAATTAGAGAGGATTAAATGATCTCTCTGGCCCGTGCACATCATGGAAGAAATTAAGTCTGTTATTGGAATCCAGGCACAGTAAGATTTTGCTTTGATCTTCAAAAAAATAGTATTATTTCATTCCTATTCATTTCATAAATTGTATTTAAAAATCTAATAACGACCAATGACTTAATCTTTATTACAACTTCACCTAGTTTATAAATTCTCCACAATATTAGCATTAAAAAAAGAAGCACTAAAAAGCCCAAACCCTGCCAACCCAACCCTCCCATGAGATTATCCTGATAAAATCTCAGGCAGCTTTTGATTCTTACTGTTGACCATTTCCTTGTTTTCAAGACTATGAAAAAGTCTCAGTCATATCCTGAGCTTGAATTACACCTTCATTTGAGTTTTTCCAGTCTGGTCACCTCCACCCAATTTCTCTCTAACAGCTCCTCTCCAAAAGTGTACTCCATTCATTCTGATTCAACAGCAACTTATTTGGCAAACACTTCAGTTCAATTATATGGCATATTTCATAGTCTCATCTGTCAGAGATTTTCTTATTATCTCATTCATGTGATTGGATCTCATAGCTGTAGATCAATCAATTTTCTCATCTGAAACCATTTCTACTACTATGCCAAACAGGCATCTGAGAAACTGCTATTTGCTTGACATTAACATTTAAGTGGCAGCAACCATCTGAAGGACAGATTATGTATGAAATGGAAAACATACCAGATATTTGGTTAATTTCACAATTATGGGTTAATATTTATCTAGATGAAGCTGTTTGGAATGTTTCCATGGGATGCTAAATTGTTTACTTGAAAATACATTTGCTGTATCTCTGCCTTGCCTTCAATATGTGAGCACTGCAGTGACATTAAATGCATACACTAATGAAGCATCTAAAGAAACTTGCCTTGAATTCCTGTTAAATCGATTGGTTGCTTGCTGTTCAGGATATTTTGTATTACTACTGTTATTACAATCACAAAAAAACCCCAAACAACAACAACAACCAGAGAAAAAACAGGATAGTAGTCTAATCATTAGAGGACAGGTAAGAAAGCAAAGCCTGGCATTTGTGTTTTTAACAAAAATATGAATCTGGCAACTTTATCGCAACTGCCACTATCTCAGAAGTCTTCACCCAGTGTTAAATTTCCTATACGTGTTTACTTTTCATCTCTTTTTGAAATGGCACTTTGTAGCTATCTCAACATATCAATTTACCAACTTA